TCACTCATGGAACACTGCTCCGCATGCCCTTTGCCCTACTCTATCGTCCTTATGTTACGCACTGCCTTCTGACACACTCTGACACCTTCTTGTTCCATTATTGTTTCATTCTTGTTCTTCGCGCAGCCTTCGCGCAGCCTCATGACCTTTCTTATTGTTCTTCGCTGTTTCACCATTTGTTCGTCATTCTGACTCACTGCGGCTATGTAGACAGTAGAATAGGTATATAAGCTAGGTAGTCTGCTCTGTATTTCCTCAGCTTGACCTCTTCGTCAATACATCGCTTCAGCCTTCATCTGCATTCGTCGCTCATCGCTCTTATCTTACTCGCCGCTCTTATCTGCTCCGCATCACTGGTCTTTGGTTTGGTTTAGTGTTCGCTCTTCGCGACAGGGACCGTGTCTCTTGACCCTACAAATAATGTTGTCAGGATTAATATTGATCATGACCAGTGACAAAAAAAAAGAAATGACATACACGTGCCTAGTGTAAAGGTATTGGGTAGGGAACCTCGCCTAACATTCTTGACAGACGAACTTGACCGAACCGTCTTCCAAGGTAACCTAAACAAGTGATTAGGGATTAAATCAAGCGATGTGCTTATGGTCGACCTTAATAGTCTCCAGTTCCCTATCCCTCAACCAGGCTTCCATGAGCCTTGTCATGGCACAAAACCTTAAAAGGCCGACATTCATTTTGGGTCCATGTGACTTCATGCTTTCAAAGGGCATGTCTGGTGGTAAAGTGTCCTCGACTCGACCGTCATGGGCTGTTCTATCCTCGTCGGTCTCTTCAATCCTAACCGGTTCTTCGCCGACATCCAAAGTCGCCAGGAACTCCGTTAACAGTGTGGCCAGGTGTTGCTTGTGTTTCAGTTGTAGAGGGTTTCAAGGTGATAGGTAGACCCGGCAGCGAGGTCTCCGTAAGGGTTGACTGGAGCTCTGCAACCCTCTTCTCTGCGACTTCACGTGTCTCCTTTGGCATGTGGCACCGGAGAATTTTAAGTGTGTCGTCAAGAGGCTGCATTTCCTGGGACGTGGCGTCGAGTTCCTCCTCGTCATAGGCCAACTGTTCGATCGACTTGGCCAAGCGCTGCAGCGGTGTCATCAAAGACGGAGACGACAAGGGCAATCCTGCTCGAGGGCTTGAAGCCCTTTTTGCAGTGTCTCCAGAGAGTATGAGGACGATCCTTGGGCGGCCGAAATAGCTTTTACTGAATCAAGCATGGCAGTCGTAAAGCTGTCCTGGCCGAGTTTAGAGGCAGCCGCACGTCGCTCCTCGATAGTGCCTTTGTAGCCATTTGCTCGGGCCTGGGCTACGACCTTGTCCTCTTGTCTCTGATACTGCGCTATCACTCTCTGTCTAGTGAAAAGCAAGGGTCGGCTGACCCCTGCGGGTTTTTCGGGTCAACCTGCGACGGGTCGGGTACGGGTCGCCATTTTCAGACCCGAGATCTTTAAAACGAGCCATAGATCATCCGAAACGGATGGGAAATGGTTGAGATACGGTCAAATTAGTATTTTAACCATATCTCAGCCATTTCTTATCCATTTTCGATGATCTAAGGCCCAACCCGTGCGGAAAACCCGTCGGGTTACGGGTAGGGTTAAGCCAGGGGTCGGGTCCGGGTCGGCCTTCCGAAACCCGGGGTTAACCCCTGGTGATCACTATCTCTGTCCCACGGCGTTCATTTCTTTGTTCAACGTGATTCCCTTATGATATAGCTGGGGCATAAAGGTCTCCGTACTTCTTCTGCCTGGTCTCTCATCCCTGGCTTGAACGTGGTGCCCCTTCCCCCCTTGGGTATAGTCTCCCTCGTAGCCGCCTTCCAGATGAAGTTGAATCCATTGGTGTTGGGCGACTCGTATTTGTTGGCCAAATTGAAACAGGATTTGTATATTTTGTAAACCCTCTCGACTTCTTCGTGGAGGGACGCCTGGGCATCCTGAAACTGGATCCATGAACCCTATGATAGACAAGTAAAGTCATCTACTCACTGCCTTTGCCTTTGCAGAGCCTTCATTGGACCTGATTAGCCTAGTCCCGTATTCAACCTCCACCAGAGTCTTGCGCTGGTCTGAGAAGGTTGATATGCTCCCCAATCAGCAACACGTCCTCTTGCTGGTGAGGCAGGATAGGGTTGCCGTTCCTGTCAATGTCGTTGTTCCGGATGGCCACCAGGTTGAGATTCCTCGTTGTCGTGATATAGAACTGGTCCAAAACTTCTTCGTTTTTGTTGTTGTGGCTCAAGATAGATTGGGTCTTGCCTGCACCCACGGCTTTGTGATACTAGAGATGAAACTGGTGTCAGATACTTATTAGCAAGAGCAGATAACGTACTTTATTAGCACCGTCCCTTCTAATGGCACCACAGCTTGCCCGCGAGAGACCAGCCTTCACAGCATGTGACGAAACCCACGGGGAGCTAGCTGCCTGTGGGGGGCTTTGGAATCCTTTTCCCCCAGGAAGGCAGGCCAGGAACAATGGCTCATCCTTTCTTGATGCCACGGTCTTGAAGTGGTAATCCTTGGCGGAGCACAATTCATAAATGCTCTGTTGAGTAACTTGGTAAGTAAAACTTGAACCCCTGGAAAGACGGTTACCTTGAAAGGGGTTTCAAAAAGGTCTCTCATAAAAAACTGAAGGGCGACCATCATTGGCAGGTCGAGGAGGATGTTGTCCTGATTCAGGACAGCATCGATGCAGTATTCCCGCATTACTCCTGCTATCGTTTTGATAGTACCCTATCGGGATGTAAGTAATCTGAGAACAGGTAACCAGACATCGGAAATGCCGACCTTGTAATTTTTAATCCTGGCCAGGCTGAAAGTACCGAAGTCGGATTTGAGAAGGTCGACATCGCCAACCTTGATGAACTACCATTGCATCATTCAGCGGAGGACGGCTTGAGTAGCGAGATGTACTCACCATTCCGTACTTCTCCAGCGTCTTCTCAGTATAACTAAGGGATGAAGGTCGCAGAGTGCCATAATACGTGAATAAGGCCCGTATCATGCCTTGAATGGTTGTCTCCCGCATTTTGCCATTGCCGCCACTTAGCAAAATACTAGAGCGAAGAATGAGGAGTACCTTGTTCGTCCCCCAGTACGGCTTGTGTGTTACTCTATGCCGTTCGAGGTTCAACTCGAGGGTTACTGCGTTGGAGAGGTAAGCTACCGGAAGAATACATAAGCAGGGAACTTACCATAAAGAACGGTGGCCTTCAGGCTGTGATTGAACCCGCCCGTTGTGAGTGTGCGGATTCCGTTACGGGTATTGGTGGTAGGGTCCACTGCGTTGCGGAGGATGTTCACCGCAAAGCAGTGATACCACCCCAGCACCGTCATGGACCCTGGCTTTCCGTTACGCCCTTGGATCCGATGGGCCTGTGGGACAGGTAAAATAGCTGACTGGTAGTCCTTGCTAGGGACTCACTAAAAAAGGCAAGAAAAGGAGGCCGATGGCTGTCACCACATCCGAGCGCCAGGGTGACTCGAAATACACATGCGTCACGACGTCGTCCTCCCTGTCCGGGTCAGGGACTTCTAGTGTCACTTTTCCCGTATGCTCTTGTCTTGCCAGGCAGCTGAGTTGAACGTAATCCAACGTTCTTCACACAGCTTAAGGACCTTGATGGTCTTCTCCGAGCGGGGGTCGAACACCTTCTCCGTGAACTCAATGAGGCTTTTGAACAATTTGTCCTTTAGCCCTGGGTTTTCTGGAGTGGAGATTTCCGTCAGTGTTCTAAGATTGTTGCGCCGCTATAAGGTTTCGTATTAGCGCAGTAAACGTCATAACTCATTCGATACCATACCGTTGTTGAGGCCGCCAATTTGTCCTTGTTGAAGAGGAACGCAAAGGTACTGGGCATATCAGATGGCATTGATCCAGTCTGCGCCTTGTCCTTTGAGTGGGGTCTCGTCGAGGTATGGGCGTTCTTGGTTGGAGTTTGCTGTTCTCCGTGATGAACATAGCACTGTAATCCTGAGAGTCCATGTGGGGCATCTGTATTGAAAGGCATTGGGAGTATGGAGGGATGGTTGGAGGGATGATGACGTTGAGGAAGCAACTTTCCTTTGTGATGGGATCACAAAAGCGAGTTATCGGGAACCTTACATTGTTGTATCCCGGTACATTCTCTGCCTTCACAAATAACTCGTCGATTATGGACTCCCAGGACAACCTCTCCATAATCAACAACGTCATCAATCGGCAGGATT